AAAAAAAAAAAAAAAAAAAGAAATGTATTTCCAGTGCCTCTTAGCCTGACTTCTTACACTAACTCATCTCCCCTTCTTTCTTCTCTTGTGAACCACAGTGCTCCCAGATGGGCTGGAGCCAGCCACCCCAGGCCCGAAGCCCCCCCACTCCGAGTGGCTGGACAGGACCTGTGTAGCAGAGAAAGCCACTGCCCCAGCTCCAGCCACGTTTTTCAAAACGCCACATGAAAAGACTTCTGGATGCAGCTAGAGCCCAATAGCTGATGGGTGTCGGAACTTTGTATTGTACAGTCCAGGTGTCCTAACCGGCAGTCCTGGTCCGTGCGCCACCAGGACCGACTCCTCTTCCCACGCATATTTGGGGATCTTTTTTGTAAAGTATCAGGGCAGCAGTTTTTTTCCAAGGGGCTGGGGCGTCTTCTGCTGTATTCCTTGCTCTGTTGTTAGCCCACTGTTCCCCCAGCTGCCTTCCTAGAGCTGGTACCCTTGGCAGCTCTTCTTTGTTCCTGGAAAACTAGTAACAGCTTTTGCATACCTTCTGTGTAGAGCTTTCAATATCACCGAGGAAGTCCCAAATTCAGAGCCAGTTCCAACACATTCCTGGACGGAGTTGTGTCTATGCAGTGAGGCTTGCTGGCCATCCATCGAGCCTTCCTTTATTCACTCTGTGCCAGTAAGATCCACCAACCCAGAAGAGACCTCAGCGGTGTGGGGTGGGAACTTCTTCCACTGGGCCTGCACGTGGACTGAGGGGATCACCAGCAGCCGCTGCACTGCACTTGACGTCATCTTCCTGGTCTGTGTTCTGCTGACCGAGGGCACATCTAAGCACCGAGGTGGTGTACTCAAATGGTGGTGGTGGTTAGGTGCGCAGCAGAGTAGTCAGTGGATGGTGTTTGCTCTAGCATTTCTGATCCTGGTCTAAGGCTTTATATCCTAAGTGGGACTTCACTGTTAGTGTGCTGTAGATCAGTAGCCAGTGATGAGCAGAGACTCGGGCTGTTATCTGGTACGATAATGACTGCTTGGAAGGAAAAATGTCGTTTTGACATGCCTCTGTGTGGCGTGTTTATGACTGCTCAGCTGCATGTAGAGTTGCATATACGGTTGTGCCTGAAGTGGGATGCTACTTTGTCAAAGTGAGGAATATGGGACTGCCTGGAGCTGCTGGGGAAAGGCCACGCTTCCCTCAAGTATTCTCAAGAGCGCCTGTCATTCAGGGCCTGCTTCTTTTGTATCCATGAGTGCTTTTACTCTGAAAGACACAGGAGCTGTTTGCTCCGTGCTCACTGCTGTGGTCACATGGGACAGAACACCTTCCTTAGACAGGTGCCGGGCGGTCCAGTGCCTCCCTTTCCCAATGTAATTGTCCCTCCCACACCGTGTAACTAACGTGAGGGGGGCAGGCGGGCAGAGTGGGAGTCTCTTTGGAAAGGGGGACCTGGAGCTCAGCTCTTACAGACCCTGTGGAAGGCTGACCACAAGAGCAGGGGCCCCCAGAGCCCCCCAGTTCTTTTAAGGAGAGGCTGTCCTGTGGCTGTCGCAGCTAAGTCCATAGAAGATGGGGAACGTGGCGCTGTTCCATGGCTCGGTGATGAAGTGGGCTGTGTCGTGCACTCTCCCTAGCCCCACAGGGCCTGTGGAACACATTTCGAACACTCTGGCCTGGGTGAAGGGAGAGCTCTACTGATGACACTTGGAAAATGTGTCCAAGCTGCTGCCTGCAGACACTGATCCTGAGGACGGCTTGTGAGACCCCCACAGTTCGGGGCAAAGGTATTCCCGGAGCGCTCCTTCATGGGGCATTGCCAGGCCCGTCCGCTTTTCTACCTGGGCTTAAAGTAGTTTATATATTCATATTTATTTACACTTTGAATATCTCTCTGAAGCCATGCCAATTTTCAGAGCTGAAGGCAGACTTGCATATGTACTCAGGCACATGGGTGAGCCAAACAAATGATAGACTTTCATGCTGTTCTGCCCTGGGTTATATAATCTGTGTTTCTCATTGGTATCCCTAGTCATTCTGAGGCCCACATCTATGAAGTTTTTCATGAGTGTTTACCATCTTTCTTGGTCATGCATTTCTGCACATTTCTGAATACTTTTTTTGACAGGAATCACCCAAGATTGTAGTATTTACCTATAATGAATGAGAATAAAGTTATTTACCTGAGAAAATAGAATATTAAGCGCACAAATACTTTCTAATACAGGGTTGTAAATTATGCTCATTTTAAGGTGTGCATGCATGCTTAAGGAAGCCATTTATTCTGCCTATTTCTCTGTCAACCAGCTTCAGGGGCTAACTTCAGTATCAGCTGTATTTTAAACCTTACATTTAAAATTTTTTATGACACAGTGGATAATGTCATAAATTAAGGTCTGCTTCTCAAGGACGATGTGGTTTTGTTGTCAGTATTGAAGATCACCAGACAGACTTAAAGATGACCATTGATTGAGCTCATGCATTGGATATCAGAAGTTAATGAAGCCAAGTGCCACAGTTCTGAATTCTAGGTCCTGATATATCCTTATGGACTACACAGATGTTTTTCTGAATTTTACTGTTGTATTTTTTCTATAACGGACAAAAGTCCTATTTTCTACTTGCATGAAGTCCATTCACAAGCTGTTAGCTTTGCTGAGGAATTTGAGGGTATTTGAAATTATTTTTACGCACAGCATTTAAAGGAAGAACTTCATTTGTATGAAAATCCCTGGAGAGCTCTTTGGTCAGAGCTGCTGAGAAGAGGAATTAGTGCTATTTATGTCGTGCTGCATTTGGAGGGGCAGGATATAGTTTTTCCGAGTGGCATGTGGTTGGGCCTTGAGTTCTTTAGAAATCAGTTGCAATAAGAGATTATGGATGACACATCGGCTCTTAAACGAGCAGCAGATGACCTGAGGTGAATAAAGCATCTCAGTCGGTGCTTATGAATGAGATCTTTTTTAAGTAAAATTCATTGTGAATAAAGAGTTATTATCAGTCCTCAAAAGATTGATTAATCATTTGGGGATGAGAGACACTAAGCATATCCATCCATCTGTATCTATCTACCTATCATCTGTCTATCATCCATCTATCAATCTGTCGTCTATCTATATCTACTTATCTAGCCATCTATCTAAAATTTCCTTCCATGGTCTAGGAAGTTCTGTGTTAACCTGAGCCACTGAGAACTGAGAGTTAATAGGTACTAGGAGGAGCTGCTAGGCCGCCATCATCATGGCTGATGCAGTTGGTTCTTGGGCTCTAGATAAAGGGTTATGAGGATGCGTGGCTCGTTTAAGGTCTTTATTCTAGTTTAGCACCATTGCTGTGGTTCTGGGCAATGTGCTTTTATCTCTCCCCTTCCTGGGCAAATGCCTTGGGTATACCTCAGCAGCAGAAGCTGTATTTTAAATCAGTTTCAAGGAAAAGCCTTACACATTTTTTAGCATAATGATGTACATTTTAATATATAGTTGAGAAAAAGTGAAAAACTTAAAAGAACAAATACCGTAAGTACATCGAAGGCATGTAATAAGCATCTGTGGAGGTTGGTAATCTCAGACCTGAGTCCACCCACATCCTCATGTCTGCTTTATACCCAGCTAACTGTCTGTGAAGGCTTGGGATCAACAGTTACACCCCATTGGTTTGTTGTTGAGTTATGGCATCGGCATTTCAGAATATGATAAGCTCATTTGAAGCTTTCGAAAGAAAGGGACACTGTTAAAGATGATTTTATTCAGAGTAATTAAGATGGGTCCTGACTTACTGCCAAAGCCCACAAACCCAAGTTCTTCCTTGCAGAGAAGATGTTCTGAGAACTGTCTAACACTGTTTCCCTAGACTCTGTATATGTGGTTGGCTAACAACCGAGAGGTTGTTACAAACTTTTAAAACACTACACAACTTCTCTTTCCTTTGTTTGGTTTTTCCAGACAGGGTTTCTCTGTGTAGCCCTGGCTGTCCTGGAACTTGCACTGTAGACCAGGCTGGCCTTGATCTCACAGAGATCCGCCTGCCTCTGCTAGGATTAAAGGCATGTACCACCACCACCCGGCCTTTTTCCTATCTTAAAGAGCAATTAAAACCACCTGTTGCCAAACATGCCAGCATTTCTAAATAACTAGCAAAAGTCTCGTGATAGTGTTGGGCTGGGTGGCACACACCTTTAATCCCAGTATTGGAGAGGCAGAGGCAGGTGGATCTCTAGTTCAAGGCCAGCCTGATCAACATAGTGAGTTCTAAGACAGTGAGGGCTACACAGAAACCCTGTCTCAAAAAAACAAAACAAAAAAAAAACGTTCATACCAGTGATCCCAGAATCGCCAGGCAGAGACAGGAGGATTCCAGGCTGACCTGAACTACATCAAGATTTTGTCTTGAACAAACAATTCGAAAAGCTTCCTGTGGTTCCAGTAATGCAAATGTTTTCTTTCTCTGAAAGGTAGTTCTGATCCTTGTAGAATCTTCAAATGTTTAAAATTGAAGAATGAAAGAAGGTAATCTTAAAATAGCTTCTGGGTAGTTTTGTTAACTACAAACTGATGCACCCCTGATATAGTAATCTATACCAGGTATCTTCCAGTGCCTCCTTCTGTTAGCAGTTTTTGCAAAGCTGCCATTCCAAATCCAGTTAACCTTAGCCTCTCAGCAACTAATCATGCTCTCCCACCCATGACCTACTCAGCAGAGCATCCTCCCTCCCAACCACACTTCCTCTTACAAATACCTGTCTTGCCCAGGACTGTTGCCCTCAGCCCTTGTGATCCGTACTCTGCTCAGGCTAGCTATATATAGCCTTTTATCATAGCCATTTTTGCATTTTAATATGCTCAGAAACTTCTCCCCTTCAAACAAAATACCCTTGTTTGACTCTGGACCCCTGCCGACCACTGAAGTATGCCTCCCACTCTATCTTTGAATTCTGTTTTTCATTGAAGCAGGGGTTTTTAACCCTGGACGTACATGTGGACTAACTGGAAGTTTTCAAAGAGATGACGGTGCAGCAGGTAAAAGGCGTTTGTCACCAAACCTGATGTCTCGAGTTCTGTCCTGGGGACTCAAAGGGTAGAAGAGAATCAGCCCTCACAATGTTGTCTGCCCTCTGTCCTAATCAGATTACCGTGGCACATATGTGCACAATAAATATGATTTTCTTTTCATCAAAGGCAAAACAGTTCTCAAATGAATTTTAGGGCAAATCCATCCTGTATTTACTATCTTATATCTATGCATAATTGGGTGTACATATGATTAAAACCAGATGCATTATAGGAAGGGACATATGCAGTAAATGATTATGTGACGAGCTAATCTATCAATCAAAGCACTGTTACCAGTAAGATGTTTTCTCTGCCATTGTATCTTCTTACTAGTAACTCTATATATGAAAAGTATCGATTTTGTATGCTAATTCTATTTCCTGCTACTGACTTGTTCTGCTTGTGAGAATTCATTTTACCATGAATCCACTGGAGTAAAAAGAATCTTCCTAAATGCACGGTGGGTTGAATAGAAAGCAGAGTCCACAGCAGTTAAAGGTGTGTGTGTGTGTGTGTGTGTGTGTGTGTGTGTGTGTGTGTGTGTGT